ACGGATACGGATACGGATATGGATATGGATACGGATCTTTTTTTTCCCTCAGATATCCGCGGATACGGATATGGATACGGATATCCGGAACATCACTAATAAAAATGTTTCTGGTAGTTAAAAATATAAACATATATCTGAGTATTTTTCTTATAGTTGTATAACTAATTTTAATAATATTTATATTTTACACTTTACAATTTGATATCTAAATGAAGTGTATAAATTGATAATTACAATATTATTTACACTTACTGATATTAATGTTCCATTTCCACTCAAGCAAGGACATTCATCAAGAGAAACACAAGTACGATAATCACGATAGACTTTGGGAGATAAACATGTCATGTCTGTACATCCAGAAATGCATTTGTTTTCTCCTATGCAATAACCTTGTGATATTAAATCATTTTTAAAATTTGAACATGTAAAATCACAATGAATTTTACATTCCTGCCATTCAAATCCAGGTGGACAAGGAGCTATAAATTATATAATAAAATACACATATTTATACATAAGAAACATATATTAATGTATCTTCAAAATTTCATAATTAATTAAATAAGTGAATCTGTTTATTAAATGTGGCTATTTCATAAATTTTTATCAGAGAAATAAATTTTCATTGTAGTTGGTTAAGTAATTTTTCATATTATGTAATATTAAATATAAAATTAATAAAATTCAATATAATGTGATAAAAATGTTGTTTTATGTTAAACATTATAAATACCTATATACAGAATAAATGTTTAAAATAGATATTCCTCATAAACATTGCAATTAAATACAAACTGTAAAATTAAAATAATAATTTGATATAAATATAAAAACAATGCTGAATGAACAGTGAGAAAATTTTATGTAAAAAAATGTCTTAAGACTGTATTAGAAAATAAGCATTACAAGTAAACAGAAATTTTAGAGTTGACTAAAAAATATTGTATCAGCAAATCAAAATATATTTATTAGACTATTAAAGGCATTACATGTAGTAACATTTAGAAAACAATAAAAACTTTAATACACATTTCAGTCTACCAATGGACTGTTATACTGACCTAAATATTTGATAAGTCCAGAATAGGACTTACCAAACATTCAATAATGAGGACATAAATGAATTAACTTAAAGAATCAGTTTTATTTTCCAATGTTCATTTCAAGTTTTCCACAAACTCCTCTTCAGGTGAAATTTACATAAAAATACACTGAAACCAGTCATCTGTACCACATACCATCTTAATTTTTCAACTTAGTAAATCTGTAACTTTCTAGACACTTCACCAATCCAAATATCACAAAGCTATTAATTAAACCTTGATTAAAATCCATAAAGAAAAGACATTACAATTGGATTTTTGACCTGAACATAAAAGCATAAAATTACATAAATATCTTAATTCTAGTCACAACCTCTATTATTACATAACTTTACAAGTCCAGTAAGTCACTTCCTTGTTCCCACTTATTCCTTAAGGAAAATCACACCTCTATCCTACTGTCTTACTCTTGTTTATTACTGGGATCCAGAATAAGTATACAGTAATACCTCAACTTACACTACCCCGACTTACGTGAATCCGGAGTTACGCGATTTTCAAATCTCGTCGATTCATCTTTTGTTTGAACGCCACGCAACTCTTGATTACTCACTCCCCCCACACTATTGTTTAGCTTACATGTTCGGACATGCCGCGCGGAATCGACGCATAGCTGCAATTTATGTTGTGTTATTTATTTCTGTGTTATATCTACGGATACTTGAGAGACTCTATGTGGTGATTTCTTGTAACCGTGAACGAATCAAAAGGAGAGATAAGGTTAACGAGAACATTTATTAGCTTACATACATCAGATTTGGATTTTACACAAATTGCAAAAATATACCCCGACTTACGCAAATTAGACTTATGCGGTTATCGCTCGGTCCCACCTATCGCGTAAGTTCGGGGTATTACTGTATTCTTAATCCCTCATTTTCATTTATCCTTTTATCTCCACATAAGTTCAAATAACTTTCTTTTATACAGATTTTCTTCCATGCATAATATTCTTAAGGTATCCAAAACCCATTACTATTAACTTACACTTGCTCATTAATTGCAACTGTACTTTAATTTTTTACAATTGATATGAGACTGGCAAAATATTAAAGATAAGGAATGCTCTGCAATTCTTACCTTTAATATTCCCCCATATATATTTTTGGCTCTTTACAACTACAATTAAACAAGTATACTATTACTGTTGTATTCATTAAGTCTTGACTTTTTACCTGAGAATTCAATAAATATTGTATACTATTATTCTTATATATTAGAAATAATTCTATCATAAATTCTCTTATTATTTTCTTTATTTTTTCAAAAATATTAGTTATATATGGAAAAGATATACTGTATATTTTATTAGTGCTTGTATAACTTCTGTAGAATCTTGCATTTAAATGTTTTCAACCAATTTACAAAACATTCTAGATGCCTATCAACATGTACTGTACAGTATGGAAATATATACCGAAAAATAAAATTATTTTTTTAAGTCATTATTGAACATTAGATAAGTCCATAATAATAATAGTCCATAGGTAGAGTAAAAAAAACAATATTGGGAGGTAAGCTTAAACTCAACAAAAAACTTGATAATGAAATCTTAATCATTGGATCAGAAATAATAAGATCAGAAAAAATATAATACAATAATCATTATTAAAATCTTAATCAAATATGATTATACCTAAAATTATTATTTGTATATTTTTATACTAATTTTATGATGACTTCCTCAACCTAAACAATAAAAATTATTCTAGAATAAAATATTACTTTACTAAAGGCCCATCCCTACCTTTTTCTATTTCTTTGGTTAAAACTGTCTCAATAGACAGTGGAAAAAAATGAGGCTCCTTCTGCTCCTTCCTCATTTTGTTACTGAGAAATCAGTATTTTAATATACAGTAAACAGCACACACTAATAAAATTCAAGGGTTATTTTATAAATATTTATAGCTTCTTTTTCCTAATTTCTTCTATAATTATAGCCACCGCAACAATAAGGACAGTGAGCAACAGAAAGCCAAATTTCCAATAATTTAGCAGTATTGCACCAAATAGCCTGGGACATTATTACTGTATATATTGTCTATGAATTTGTGATTTGTATTTTTGCTTTATTTGTATATGGGATTAAAAATACTAATAATAGAAAGAACATTTTTGAAAGATATATTTTTACTTCATATACAGCTTTGTCATAAAGAATGTTTCTAAAGTAAATAATGGTCTAAATAGAAGTCCATATTTTGGAAAATATTTAAACCCAGGTGGACTTCTAATAGGGTCAATACAGTGTGCTGAAGTTTATATTACACTGAATCTATTTAAATAAATAAATATTTGAAACATTTAAAACCTATTATGAAAATTTTCATCAAATTAATGTTTTCAGCTTTTCAGAAGCTGTCTTTAGGCTACAAAAATTCATAATTCAAATACATCTAAATATTTAAATTTCAATTGTTTTAAGCATCAAATGAAATGAAATAAACCTTCAATTCTTAGAAAATTTCTGTAAGACTTGGTATCATTTTGTACATTTAATTCTTAATTATAAGATTTTTGAATTAAACTTATAGAATAAAATTAAATAAAGTTATCAAGTAAGAAAATTTAATTTCAATAGAATATGATTTTATCATAAAAATTTCATTAAAACACTAACAATACTTACTTGTACTACTAACAACAGGGGAAATGGTACTTGGAGACCCAACAAAAGTTGTAGGAATAGGTTCAATTTTTTCTTTTGGTCTCTTCTTACCTTATTTAAATAAAAAGCAACAAGCATAACTAAATGTTTATTGCAAGTATAATTTACAATTAAATTATTTAATTTTTATGAAATCTATAAAACTATTTTTACAAAAAGCATATTAAAAATTAGTAGTTTGAAAAGATATACTGTATATTTTATTAGTGCTTGTATAACTTCTGTAGAATCTTGCATTTAAATGTTTTCAACCAATTTACAAAACATTCTAGATGCCTATCAACATGTACTGTACAGTATGGAAATATATACCGAAAAATAAANAATTTATCAAAAACTTTTAATCATTACAGAATAAAATAAAATGTTAAATAATTTTTATAAAATAAATAGTTAAAATTCTTAAGCAACAATTTTATTTCCAATATTAATCTGCACTGAGCAAGGACATATGAAATGAACTAAATATAATTGAATATTATCATCATACAGTGTAAGTGTGAACATCTGAAACCCTTTTCTGTCTTAAAACAGTATAAACCTCAGGATGTTATCTGTAAAGGGAAAAAAGAGACTTCTGCGGTCAATGACCGAGATGCTCTCCTCAAAAAAAAAAAGGGGGAAATGTTAAAATATCAATGAAGGAAATCTCCTCCATTTGTTTAAAGGTAATTCTATAGACGTTAATATCAACAAGATGGGAATAAGAGATGTTTTTTCCCCTCTTTGGTTGCACATGAGCAATAAATCGCCTTGTTCGTAGTCAAACACGGCATTCGATATAAACAATATCTGGATTGTTGACCAGTTTACAGAAATTATTGTCAGCTGAATGTTAATTTATGGATGAGAGTCGTCAAACCTATAGAAATTTACATTATAAAATCATATCTTCTAGACACCAATATCAACAAATTAAACAAACTTCTCTGTGCCAGTTGTCTGTACTAGCTAGATCCAGACATCAACACACTAACAGGTGTGCGTATAAATCATTAATAATGTCATAGTTCTCACCCCCTCAAATTTGGTATAAAGAGGGCTTATGGCCAGTTATTGGGGTGGCCTTCAAGACAACAGGAATCAACTGATCAACTGCCTTTGAACACTGACCACCGACGACGAATGACTAAGTAAGATTCTACTATCTACAACTTAGTAAGTAGAACTCTCTCTTTTCTCTCAGGTGGACTAGGGCTAATTAAGAAATAAATATTAATGAGGATCAGAGACTATCTGTCGGAAATACGCGAGATGCAATCCAGTTAACCACCTACTGAAATTTTGGTTTGAAATCATTATTATCATCAATCTTGTTCTTTGTAACCTTTTTATATAGCATTTGTTAATTAAATTTATATAATATTTTAAACATGTGTGTTTACTCGTACTCGGCCAACACCTTATCGACTTATCCGCGACCTCCCACTCGATTTTCACCCTCCTAAATTGCCATCCACTGACCCTGTGAGCGGGACTCACCTTCCCGTTGTCGGAAAACAGTTTAAGCTTTGATGCTTAAACCCCGATTCTCACATAAGTTAATACATTTAGTGTGTTGCATGCCTAACAAAAATTATTCCACGCAAGATGGCAGAACCAAAAGATCTCATCGCCTCTAGCAATGCTATTTTTATTAATACTATAGTAAATGTCATAGAAAACAAAGACAACAGTGACAAAGACAAAGACAAACAAATATTAGAAATTCTCAGGAAATATCTTTCAACAGAAAACACTGCTATTATTCTGTAGATACTGTTCTTTATTTTATAGATATTTGTTTCAGATAAGTGGAACTTAAGAATTTCAATATTTGTATGATTAACAAACTGCAAACTGCAAAAAAATTTATCATCATAAAAAAGTATTAAAGGCTTAGTTAAGCTTTTAAATAAATTGAGTTTGTAACATTATGTCTTACTTTATTCTTAAATCCAAACAGAAAATATTTTCAATTAGGAAATATGTCTTTTGAAAACTTATTAAATATGACTGACCAAAATTCTAAGCCAATGCAAGACAACAATCTATTCCTCTATGAAAGCAATTTCTTATGGTAATATAGTTATTGGTCTTTGGAATATTTTTTGTACCAGACCAGTATCCAGCAAGCATGGAATTAGAACAATTCAAAAATAACCAGTTTTCTGATAATTCCAGAAATTTGGTCCCGTACTGTATAGGCAATTATAATAAAGAAAACTATCATTAGTTTATAAAATTTATTTTTACTTATTATTATATTTTTATACAAAATAGCTATTATATTTTTATACATCAATAGCTATTCTGTTTGATGTCATGGAATCTATATTACGGTGCTGTTTTAAAGGAGTTATGTGAATTTGACCTATAAAGTAATTTACTGGCCTCATGGAGAAAATATTAATGTCATCATGTAAGGTTTTTCTGATATTCCAATGTCATAGAATGCATTGATGATTTACACATCCCAATAGAGGCTCTTAAAAGCAAACCAAAACACTATCAATAAAAAGCTTTCATTTTGTTATATTACAAAGAAATATGTGACCACAAATTGAAATTTACACACTCTTATGCAGGTTGTTGAGAATTCATGCATGAGGCTACATTTTTTACAAAATCAGGTGTAAACAGTATTCCGACATTTTCTTTATTTCCTGAAACTCTCAGAGAAAATACCAAAATACCATTTGTAATAATAATTTTACATACCCATTATGTAATGTCATCTTACATTTCTTAAAGGTCATTATAAGAAAATGAAATACTTAAACATGGAACAGGCAGAAATTCTTAGTCATTATTGCTATTTGTGTTTTGTGCAATATTTGCATAAATTATAATGAGAAAATGGATAGAAATTTATAAATTGGAATATAGATAATGATGATGATTTATGTTGTGAGAGTTTTGAAACATTAAATACAGTTAAATGCCAATATAACAAATTCCAGTTTAACAAAATTTTTAGTGTAACAAAATTTATTTTGAATCCTCCCACTAATTTCCTATTCAGCTATTTCCAATTCCTATTGTGAAACTGTTTCAGTTTAATGAATACCACAATAATGAATATCTCAGTTTAACTTGGTTTATTTGGTTTAAATTTGGTTATGGCAAAGTGACAAGTGGACAATTCTAAGTGGATAATACCATGAACACTGGTACTTGGTTGTGGGTTTATCCATTTGGTCACTGATGGGTTTCAGTTTAACACAATAAAAGTTTTGTATGTTACAAAAGGAAAAGATTCATTATAATGAATTCTATAAGTGCATACATTATTTATTTTTTATTATTAATATTACAAATCACTCTGGCAACCTAACTGAAATCCTTATTTTCAGTTTTCTTCTTGTATGTTCTATTAATGTACAGGTATTTCTTGTATATTTATGAGTAATAATGGAGAAAAACAAATAGTAGTGGAAGCAGTTTTTGGAAGAGAAGAAAAATATTAGATGCTGTACAAAAATAAATTTTAAAAAGTGAAATGAACTGTGATTTCATTGTAGATTTATGTGATTATAAGAACATTTTATAAACATTAAGCAAATGCTGCAACAACCTTTACATATCAAGATCTTATCAAAGAGAAATTTAACATAAGTTTCATTATCTTTTTTAACAGAAACATATTTATGCTTTTAAACATTAATCAAATATACTATCTAATCTTAATGAAATTTATAACTAAGAAATTATTGTTAGTATGCTGTTTCATCTTTTTTTGAAATGGCTGAATATTGGTGTTTATGTTTGAATGCTTTTCTGTCATAATAATTCACTAATCATATATTAATTAATTATGCTTTTAACTAATGAATGAGATTACAGAATTTAAATAAATATCAAAGATCTTTCAAATCTCTAAATTGAAAACATAAGTATGGAAATTGTTATAAATTTTCATTCACTTACATTTACAAAATATCTTAACTTCATAATCTTCACACTGATGAGTTTCTGAGCTTTCACATATCAATTTCCCTTTAGTACATGGATGTATTAAATTTGGAATTGATGTATCAATGGACTGTTTTGTATTTACACTACGACATTGCATAGCAAGAATAAATGGACACATTTTCTTGAAATTTGGAATTTGATTTACCATTTCATAATCATTTCCATCATCATAAGGAGTATCTAAATTAATCCAAGGTGACCAAGTTCCACATTGTATTTTTGGTATACTGGGCACTAAAAATAAAAGTGACAAGCAATTTTATTTTTAATATTTCATTTTACTTATTATTAATCAAACAAAATAATTTATATATATTATTTATTATATTAAAAAAATTAATGCTTAGAAAAACTAAATAAATGAATCTATACATTTAATTGTTAATCTTTTAAATAATAAATGATAAAGTAGTAAATAAAAAGATTATGACATGATGAATATTACTTACAAACATGATCACATCCTAAAATTTCAAATCTCACAGCTATATTGTACTTCCAAGCTAATGGTTTTAATCTTATGTATTGTGTGACAACTTTAGATGGAAACATAATTCTTTCAACTTCATCCTTGTTTAATTCAGGTACTGTAAAATTAAGTCTTTCTCCAAATTTATTTGCTATAAAATTAAATTGTTGTCCATCAATACTGTGAAGAACTTGTAACATTGTTAATTGGCTAACTCCATTTGCACCTCCTTGTATCTCAATTCCTGTTACTTCTTCTAGTTTTAACATATTAACCTGAAATAGTGACCTTTTTATTAAATAGCAAAAATCTTAAATATGTCCTACTTTAATATATTCCAAATAGCATGCTCATTCAGTAAAATATTTTAATTATTATTTAATTCAACTTTAATCCATTAAATTACAATTGATTTTTTTTATTAAAATCATTATTCACTAAAATATTTGTTTACTAATAATTTGAAACCATATTATGTGTGCCACTCTTGATAGAAGTGCAATATGTTTCCATTTCCTAAACTAAAAAATTGAAAACTAATTTTTATTTGAAATTTATTTTGTTTTTATTATTCTAACATAACTGCTCTTAAAATTGTCAGAATGAAATACAAGACTAATAAACAAAACACTTAAAATAAATAAATCCATATCTTTTACAAAAAATATATTAATTTATACATCTTCATAAGCTTATATTCTGAAATAGTTTATTTACAAAACTCGCACAAAATAGTTATAGATAAAATGACTTTAACAGACTGTAAAACATTAAAGTAAAATGACTGAGAATACAAATTATTTTGTTAAATAAACATAAGAAAGAATCAGTATTATTTGTAAGAAAATTTAATAAAGTTGAAGAGTATTACTGTCTTTTAGTGAAAACTATAATGGTACATACAAATATTATAATAGAAATTAAAAAAAAACTACAAAATCTTCCAAAAAAATCTACTTATAAACTTTATAAATTAATAAAGTAAGTTTGATTTATCAGAGGCATTTGTAATATTTTGCTAATTTCTATTATTAAATTTATGCATACCATTAAATTCAATATTATAGGACAGTAATATTCTTGACATAATTTATAATGTTTAAACAAATATCAACTTCAATCTGATAGTTATATATTAAAGCCAAATGATTGCCAGATTATATTGGGCGATATTACTCCTACTATTAATAATTTAAATACTTATAAATTTGGTACTAGAGGTAGGTGTTAGGCACTTTAATAATTAATTTAGAAGATTCTGTTCATTTGTGTATATAAACTATGCCAGAGTAGAAGCAATAGCCAATTAAGTGCCACAAGTGGGAGTTATAGCCCATGGGTGCTGAATCATCTCTAACTGATGCTAAAAGTAACCAAAATGGTTACTTTTAGCATCAGTTAGAACCTTCTAAATTAATAGTGAAGCGTGAATGAAAGTTCAGGTAGCATAACTGGCAGCACAACTGCATGGTGAGTGTAAGTTGCAGGTTCAAGTCCCACTTTGGGCCAATGCTTTTCCTTCCATAACCTTCTGAATTAATTATTAAAATATTAATCTAACTTAATTGTTAAATTTAGCAAGAGATAGCACCTAACACTTACCTCTTGTACCAAATTACTTACCATTTAATTATTAATAGTAGCAGTAGTATAGCACAAAATAATCTAGCAATTGTTTGGCTTTAATATAATTCTTAATGCATATTATTACATAATATAAATAATACTAATTTTGATATATGTCATTTTTACAACTAAAGGAATTTATAAGAAGTGTTCTCACTGTTAATAGCTATTTTTGTATTTTGAAACAGTTTTAAAGAAATGGTGATAACAATTTGAAGTTGGCAACAGAAGATTTTATATTTTTTTAATTTTTACTTTAAGAGGTTTTTAATTAACATAAATATTATTAAAAACACTTTTTTAATCTATTATTATAATATGCTTCCTTTTTCTTCTATGAATTCAAAAGATTCTCATCTTTCTATGAAACAACATACAGTCGACCCCCCTATAAGATATAGATAAGTTCCAATTTATTAGGAATCCGATTTCTTACAAGTCGTTCCAATCACAGCCCGACACGTGTCAAGTTTACGGACTACGGCTGATTGAAAGGTTTTCTTCCATAAAATTAATCGATTCTACACTAATCCGACTCAACATTTCCAAAATACGTATATTTTTTCGTAGTTTTATAGGAATCGTAATTATAGGGACCGTAATTATAGGGGGG